CAGAAAATAACATCACAAAACCCATACATCACTTCTACACATTCTTTATTACATCATTAAACTACACATACACAAACACATTAACACATATACACAACTACAACAACACACATTTGTTCACTAAATACAACTAAAATACACATTACAAATGCATCATTACACCACAACAGTACATCGCTAACAAAACCTTCGACAACTCCTACTAACACATTTCTGCACAACTTTGTGTCACTACACACAAACACAGGTCACAATGTCACACTCAGTAAACACTGTTACAACATTAAACACACATTAAATACATCATTACAAAACAAATACTTTAAAAACCCCTTCAAAACCCCACCATACACATACACAGACTAACACAAACATAACACAGAAACAAACAGCAATACTAAGCATACCGTTACAACTCACATCACTGTCACAAAGTACATACACTTTAAAACATTCTTTATTACATCAATACAATACAAAAACTCCTTCACAATAACACACATTGCAATACTCAACACAAACAATACTCTTTTCTTTAAACTAAACAAAAAACCACAACTTACATCACAAACACACACACACACAACAATCAATACAACAAAGTCACATAAACAATAGCCAAACACAAATCGCACTATAAACACTGCAAAGCAATAACAGCGAGCGCCAAACAGTCACAAACATTACACTGCAAAAAAAACCCCAAAAGAACACAGGCAAACACAAAACTATTTCATCAGCCTTCACAAAAACCTGCCACACAGCAACATAGCAACAAACCACACAGCAATGCAAAAATCCACACACAACAACAACAACAACATTTGCATAAACAGCAGTCAGCACATTAAATCACAAAACAACACCCACAAACTCCCATGAAAACAAAGCTCTGCAAATTTTCACACACAAAACACAAACAACACACAAACGGTACCGTTTCACTACACACACACACCAAACAACAACAACACAAACAATGCTAAACACAAACAACAGACACAACCATAAACACAACAAAGCCACATAAACAATTGCAAAACACAAATCCCCCAATAAACACTGCAAAGCAATAACAGCAAGCGCCATAGTCACAAACAGTACAGTGAGAAAACACACAAAAAACCCCCCAAAAGGACCCAGGCAAACACAAAACCATTAAATCAGCCTCCACAACACCCTGCCACAGAGGACAATCACAACAACCCTCACAGCAATGCCAAAATCCACACACAACAACAAATGTCACATAAACAGCTGTCAGGACATCACGTCACTGAACAACACCCACAAACTCCAATTCAACGAAGCTCTGCAAATTTTCACACACAAAACACAAACAACACACAAACGGTACCGTTTCACTACAACCACGCACACATTTCAAAACACACAATAACAACACCACTTTCACACAAACAAAACAATACACCTCCTTACTGAGCAACACATAGCATTACTCAGCAAGTTACATCGACTACCAACAGCACATTTCAACTACTTCATTTGAACACAAACACAATACCAACAACACTTTCAGTGAATCAGCATGTCCTCACAGATAGACCTTTACCAGACCATTAGGTCACTAATGCTATGACTACAAACTCATCTCAGCAACCTCTCCCATTTACTGATTGACTGGTTGCGTTTATGCGTAACGCTACACCGTCCAAAGAGCGGCTCGCTAAACCAGAGGGTACCGGCTCTGGTTTTGGACACCGCATCCATGAACACGGCAGCAGCTGAGAACTCGTGACTTGATTCCTTCAAACTCCACCAAAAACAGGAAGAACAGTAGTAGTAGTAGTACATGCAAAGTTATCTGTAGTAGTACATGCAAAGTAATCTGTTGTAGTACATGCAAAGTAATCTGTTGTAGTACATGCAAAGTAATCTGTTGTAGTACATGCAAAGTAATCTGTAGTAGTAGTAGTGCATGAAAACTAATGTGTAGTGCGAAGGAAATCCACATCACTACGCTCTCACTCACTGTAAACTTCAACTGCTATCGCTAACCCTTTCCTCGCTACACCAATACCCCAGCTTGGACTCTCCGTGACACGACATGCTGAGTCTTACAACATCGTCTCAACATCGTCTCAACACAACCACCGACAACCCGTTACAAGGCGAAACCTCCTGTCCTTTGCGCCCATCCCACGTCCTCAGAGTCCGCCACTTCAACGTCGACGAATCCCTTCAGTCTTTCAGCACCTCGGCACTATCTTCCCCCCGCCACGGCCCCGACAACGCAGTTCTCACTTCTGACGCAGTCCTCCTTAGCCTCTCCGACTCCAGTACTCCCAGCTCCAGATCCATAGCCAACGTGTACCTAAACATCAACAAATCGCTTTAATTTTTCCGCACCTCGGCGCCAACACACAATCGTGCACTCAAAACTCTGTACTTATCTTCGCTCCCCCACGGCACCCGGAACGCAGCTCCGACTCCCATACCTAAACATCAACGAATCGATTTAGTTTTCCCCACACCTCAGCAAAGCCTCCAAATCCTGCTACTACAACTCCATACGCACCTTCTCTCACCCACGGCACACAGGACCTCTGATCCAGTCTCCGTTACCTCTGACTTCTGACGCAGTCCCCGTTAGCCTCTCCGACTCCAGTACTCCCAGCTCCAGCTCCATATCCAACGTGTACCTAAACATCAACACATCGCTTTAATTTTCCCACACCTCGGCACCAACACACAATCGTGCACTCAAAACTCTGTACTTATCTTCGCTCCCCCACGGCACCCGGAACGCAGCTCCGCCTCCCATACCTAAACATCAACGAATCGCTTTAGTTTTCCCACACCTCAGCAAAGCCTCCAAATCCTGCTACTACAACTCCATACGCACCTTCTCTCACCCACGGCACACAGGACTTCTGACCCAGTCTCCGTTACCTCTGACTTCTGACACAGTCCCCGTTAGCCTCTCCGACTCCAGTACTCCCAGCTCCAGATCCATAGCCAACGTGTACCTAAACATCAACAAATCGCTTTAGTTTTCCCACACCTCAGCAAAGCCTCCAAATCCTGCTACTACAACTCCATACGCACCTTCTCTCACCCACGGCACACAGGACCTCTGATCCAGTCTCCGTTACCTCCGACTTCTCATGCAGTCCTCGTTAGCCTCTCCGCCTCCAACCGGGATCCATCTTCTTCCTACTCCGTCGCCTCCGGTCCTCCAACTCCTACTCACACATCACACCGGTCACACGTTCCGCTCCACACATTCAGCAAATGACCACATCGCCCACAAACCTCTACTCACCGCCCTTCCGTCGGGAGGCCGAGGGTCCGCCGATGATCCGACGCCGCTTCCTTGCGCTGCTTTGTCGTCACCTTCGTTGCCCTTTCCGAACTTTTGCACACACATCAAAGGCTTTAACTACGACGGGTTCCAAATCCATTATAGTTTAACCAGTTCTCTCGCCTCACTGCGCAGGTCAAAAAGCCAACAGAGTGACCCCCGGAGACTTCACCGGAGCTCTCACCAGAGTTCCACAACCGTCGCCTCATCTCCCCCAGTTAACCCGCAGAACTTGTCAACAACTCCGGAAAGTTGTAGATATTAACCAAGCTTGTCTGTCTTTACCAAGCACGTTTCCTATTAAAGACCCTAAACGCTAAATCTAAGCCCTACGCCTACCCACCTTATACCCACTTACTTACACATTAGATAACTACACATTACTAACTACTTCACAAGGGACATTATTCCCCTGCCGGGAGGCCTCCCAAAAATTCTTCTAAGTGCCTCGCTAGGGCACAGTAGTCTTTACTAGAAAATGTACTCAGCAAATACAGACAAGCCCACTATAAAAATGACAAAAGTTCTGCGGGATCACCAGATGAAGATATCTGGACAGGAAACTTCCCCCTGGCACTCACTCCGCCACTGGCTCTCCATTGGCTCCTGCCGTACGCAGCCCTGTCCTACGGTTGGTCATACTCTAATGAACCCTTTGCCGTCGCCGTAGTTCTCACCCCTTTGACTTTGTGCGGTGTCCACAAAGGTCAATAAAGGCCGACACGACCGACTGCGGCGTCTAGATCATTAGCAGGTTCCACCCTTAGACGTCACTCTGGGAACGCCTCCTCCGAGCCCACACTCCCTCTCGTGGTCGACTCGTCAGCGCCGCCTACGTGGGAATGACTTCTGTTAGTTTCAGCAGTTACTTTCAACACTTAACAAAAGAGCACAACAGCCGTTACAATCGCATCACAGTAAACACTGAGCAACAGTCAACGTTAAACAACAAACCCTAACCCATCCTGTGGCTAACAACATCTGGCAACCGCTGAGGCGGGGCGGTCCACTAGCCCCTCCCCCACTCCACCCCCTTTACCCCAAAGGCGAGCACATTTACGACGACATTACAAAGCCCAACGGCTTTACAATAACGTTACAAAGGCGACCGCATGTACTATGACGACATTTCTAAACACGCCTACATTGACAACGCCTCTAATTAACACCTCCCACAGCCGTGGACGTCCATTCTCACAGACGTTGCTCTCTCGGCGCCCAAAACGATGGTAAACTACTGCAAAAGGGACATCAAACCGATGCCTACACTACTTCGCTATGGCGGAAAAGGACCGCGACGGAACATCTACACTGCGCATCCTTCACTTACCTTAACTGCCAGTGGATTCCACTTTTAAAGAAACCCACAAATGTTCCCGACAACACTAAGTCACGGCTACGGCCTTGTCACGGCAGCCCAGAGCAGCCCCTGGA